TTTTTAGCTCAATAACATTGACTTTAACAACCTTAACAGGCCTAACAATAACTTTTGACAATTTTCTTGGCCAAATAAAAATGTATATTAAGTTAAAAAAGCACCATTAATAATGTAATAACATAAACTAATTTTATTAGCATATCAAGAATTTTATGAATAAATGAGAAATAGTTTTGTTAAAAAGGGTCTAGTTATTTTGCTTCATTTTAATTAAAATATTTAAAAATCTGTTCTATAATCTCAAGATTTGAATATGATAGCCACATAACAAAAGAGCCTTGCTTGATATTTAGGTGAACTTTTAGCATAAAATATCCACATCAAGTCAATATATACTTTGGTATAAATATGTATATAAATAGATACACAAACACACACATACACACATCCATATCTTCTATAACAATGCAGAATTTCCACTATTACTCCTATTACACTGATGTTACAAACAGATGGGAATTAGCAATATTAAATGAATTTAAATAGTCCTAACTGAACCTGTTTTATGCTTTTTAGTGTGTGTGTGTGTGTGTGTGTGTGTGTGTGTGTGTGTGTGTGTACTAGTTCCAAGTACATCTGGGCTACAGAAAAAGCATAGTGAGTGTCTTATCTGAGCGTTTAATCTTGTTGCAATTTTCCAAATTCCTCTATGGGAGTTTGTTTGGAGATAATAGCTGCTGCTTTCTGTAGTTTCTTCTGGTTGTATTTCATGATTATACTCTGTGTGTTTGTATGTGTGTATGTTCATGTGTGTGCAAATACACTTGGAAATAGTATTGACCAGTGTACAGTTGTAAGTGCTGAAAGACAAAATACTTTTTTTGAATTCAGTTCTATAACAATTTGTTTTGAAATTTCCATAATTGGACAAGTAACAAGTTCATATTAATGGAAGTAACAGAATTGATAGAAAAAAATGCCTCAATTCCACTGTATTTAGTGACTTCTTTTATTTGTATATCCTTTTATTACTACCCCACTTATATCCCTTTTCTTGTGTATTTAGTTATAATGTGAACACAAACTTCTTCCTACTTTTTAACTTAGTATTAAAACACTTGCCTGGCTATTCTACTCCTTTGTCTATACCCAAAAAACTTAAAATCAGCATACTCTAATAACTCAACCACATTAAGATTTACAGCAGCTCAATCCACAGTAGCTAAACTGTGCAAAGAAACTAGGTGCCTTTAAATTGATGAATGGATAAAGAAATTGTGGTATATCCACACAATGGAATATTATTATTGAAAGAGAATGCAATTATGGCATTTGCAGGTAAATGGATGAAGTTTGAAAATATCATGCTAAGCAAAGTAAGTCAATTCCAAAAAACAAAAGGCGGAATGTTCTGTATGATAAGTGAATGATGATCTGATCCATAATGGGGATGGGGCCATGAGAAAAATGGAGGAACTTTGATTGGGCAAAGGGGAGGAAAGGATGGGAAGGGGCATTGGGGCAGGCAGGAAAGATGGAGGAATGAGATGGACATTATTATCCTAGGAAAATGTATGACTGAACACATGGTGCAATGCTACATCATGTACAACCAGAAAAATGAAAAGTTGTGCTGCAATTGTGTACAATGAATCATCATGCATTCTACTCTAATATATACCAGACAAACTTGGATTTTTGTTTTTTGTTTATTTATTTGTGTGTGTGTGTGTGTGTGTGTGTGTGTGTGTGTGTGTGTGTGTGTGTGTACTAGTTATTGTACTCTGGAAACTCAACCACCAATCCATACCCCCACCCCTATTTTGTATTTGTTTTAGAGACAGGGTCACACTGATTTGCTTTGCACTTCAATTTTGCTGAGGCTTTCTTTGAATTTGTGATGCTCCTTCTTCATCCCTTTAAACTGCTAGGAATATAGGTATGCACAGACACATGCTAAAAATTTGTGTTTTTATTCCTGATTACTTTCTGCAACAAGTGCAAATATGTCAAGATAATTTTAGTTATCTAAAAATCTGTATACTAATGAAGGTGTGTAATTTTTTCCTGATCATATACCATCACAGAGAAATGGAACTTTTACAAAAAATTTATTTCCATTAATTTTTTAAAAAATCTTGTATTAAGGATATTTTTTAAGCAGAAATAATAAGAACCTGAGTGAAATTATGGTTTTAAATATAAGTGTATATTTCTGTGGCTCAAACTCAGGATTGAATGAAAATTACAGAATTTTTTTTGTTTCTTTCTGAAGGTAAACACCAAAAATATAGAAACACTTTGTTACAATTCAGGATCTCTCCAACGATTAGGAGAGATACCAAATAATAATCAATATTTTCATATTACAGATTGGAGTCAAGCATTGAAAGAGGTAAAGAAAAAGAAATAGAATACAAGAAAGCCCTGTGTCAACACCTTTATTGGGTTCAAGGTATTATCCAAACTGGTGTCCTCTGGGGAGTTTTAATTAGTGGGTTTAAAGCAGGCAGGCAGGAGTTCTAGGTGATTACACTGTAACTGAATGATGGTCACTGGGGCAGAATTGCACTGTGTGTGTAGGCTGTGAGGCTCAGTGGAGAGAGTCAAATAGCTGTATCTTGCTGTCCCACAGGGAAATGTTCATCAAGAAGTGGTTGTGAGTAAGATATCTGCATGGACCTTTTGAGGAACTAGGGGGATGAGGAGGGCTAGGAACTATGTGAAGTGTGAAGGAGCCCTTCTTCTAACATAAAACATTTAAACATATTTAAAATAGATGAAGAGACAATAAAAAATAAAAGAATGACCCAGACTCAGTGGTCCATGCCTATAATCCCACTACTCAGGAGGCTGAGGCAGGAGTATCACATGTTCAATGGTAGCCTGGGCCATTTAGTGTAAACCTGTAGCAAAGTAAAAATTAAATTTTGGTAAATTTGGGAATGTAGCTCAGTAGTAAAGCATTTGCCTAGCATACTAGTAACCCTGAGTTCAGTCCACAGTACTGAATGTGTGTGTGTGTTTGTGTGTATAAATTCACTACAAACTTTAATTAGTATTGCAATTTTTATAAGCTCAGTGTAGAATATGAAAAATAACATAAAACTTTCATTTTAAGCCTTTCTTGTGGTAATTTCTAGGAGTCACAAAATTTATAAAATAATACACATTTTTAGCAAGCAGACCTGGCATGTACAGCAAAAATGAAAGACAAATAACATGAAATTATAAGAAATATGAAAACATTTGTAAATCTCCAAAGCACCACTGGCTGTAATTTGTGCAACTACTGATAGAAAATAACTTATCTTCAACCAATTGCACATTTTGATAAAATTTTCACTTTATAACACTGTGCATTTTGTCTTTTCTGCCCAATTGTAATCTTGTATGTGCTGGGCCTTTCAGGATGATCCTTTGAAACCAAATCCTTTGTGTTTATTTGGATGATTCTATTGTAAATGTCATTTTCCCCTCAACTACAAAGGTTTTGCCAACTGCTGACCTAAAACAGCTTAGATATAACCTTAGATATAACTACTGTTCAACATGGAAATCTTCAAAAAAGATTCACATAAATTATGTCACAATTAATTTTAAAACTTCTTAATGAGGAAGGGACATCATCGTTGAGTTTACAATTTGTTATAACTTTTACATTCTTCCAATACCTTAGCCTCATAGCTTTATTTGACCCTGAAAAATAAGTAGCTCTTTTTGGTTTTCCTAGTATGTTTTCTGAAGTTCATCTACAAATTTCTTCATCATGGATTGACCTCTGGGCTTTGTGAAAGCCAAGTTGCTTTAGTAATTAAAAAAAACAACATTAAATATTATATACAAATAAAAGTTAGCAACAAAGTGCCTAAAAGCTTCCAAAATAATTGTAATCATCATTTAAAATATTTTCTGGATAGATTTGCATGTGAAATGGTGATTTGAAACAATGTATATAGAAAAAAGTGTAACTTAAAGTTTTAAAATCAATGTACATTCCCTAAAGGGGCTCCCCTTCCTATTTTTGTTTGTTCGTTTTGTACATGGGGATTGAACTCAGGGGCACTGAACCATTGAGCCACATCCCCAACTTGTTTTCTATTTTATTTAGAGACAGGGTCTCATTGAGTTGCTTAGCATCCCATTTTTCCTGAAGCTGGCTTTGAAATTGTGATCCTCCTGACACAGCTTCTGAGCTGATGGGCCCCTCTCTATCTTTTTGATCATTTCTCTTCTACCTTCTTATTCTTCAG